GCTATGCAAATGAATCTTTATTAAATACATTTCTTTAGTTCACAACAGAACTCTTCTATAGAACCTGTTACTTGATATTTTAATTGAAGATGGTGGAGAGAATGTACTCATTGAACTACAGGTTCTTTATGAAAAGCTGCATTTTAAATAAATATATCCCAGCATGTGGCACTGGTTTTATAATCATAATTAAGACACCAGAAATAGGAGTAAATATAGTGCCACCTAGGATGTTCCACACAATTTTGTTTGATTCTAGACAAAGATAAATAAGTTCCAGTATTTAAGCCCATAATGCTTCAATATTGAAATTAGGGTTGTAAAAGGGGAATTAACTTATGTGACTGAATAACATCTTGGCATTAGATAGTAAGAGTAAGAATGATAACAGTATGCCCCACAAATATTTCCTATTCCCATTTTCATTCTGAGTTCTTGGCCCAGCAATATAGTGCTGCTTCTTTTGGAGGGCCATTGGAGGGCCTTTTGCATTTTGCAATTTTGAAACCTCCCCAAATACCCCCCCCCCCCATAAACTGATGAGATGTATTTTGGCACTTTAGATTATTAGGGGTTTGTTTCTTCCAGGCTTTGGGGAAACACTAAATAAACAGCCATGCTTATTTTGATAATAGGTCTTTGCCTAAAACCTTAAAGACTTGGAAAGTAGTTTCAACTCCAAAATTATACACTTCTTTAGTCCATTTTACATAAATACTATCTTTATGACTTCTCACAATCTTTTAAAATAAACATATGTACCTTCCAATACTGATGTAAAATACATGAAGAAGTTATTTCCCTACAAACAAAAGCATGCTAGATTGAGACTTTTACCTCATCCTTCCAACGAGATAACTGAAAGGGAGAAAATTGACTTTCGTTTTTGTTCTATTGTCTGAAATTTGGTTTTTTTTCTTAGTTTTTGGTTTTCCGTTTAAATGGAGTTGTATAATGGTGTTGTAAAACAAATGCAAGACAAGAAATAGTGACACTGTCATGAAGTTACCTGAAAATATTAGATATCTTCATGGCAATGTCACTATTTCTTTGCCTTGCATTTGCCACTTTAATGAAATGATCCAGGTGTGATTTTTAATGATGTGGGACATAATTGTACTTTGAATGTTTTCATGAAATAATTTTAAAAACATTTTTATTTTTAAGAAAAGGAATTATATGACCTATTAATGAAGAAGAAAGAATTGCAAGAAAAGTTGCAGTCCAATGAGAAGGAAATTGTGGAAGCTCAGATTCTTGCATCCATCCATCCAGGCATTATCAATGGTAAGGTCGCTATACTGCCTCATGATTTAAAGACTTGAACAGAAATTATTACTAATACTACTATATCATTCATTCATTCATTCATATACTGTTTTTCTTTCCAAAGGAAGTAGAGGCATGTACAAAAACTAAATATATTAAAAATTATCTTCCATAAAAAGCATTTTGTTAATTTAGGTGAAAATAAAATAAGTAATATATAACAATAGGGTTGCAATAATTAAAAGATTATTGTTCTTACCACAGTTATAAGCCTGCAAATGCCCAAGGGAATAACTATAACTTCAAATGAGATTTTAAACTATACAATATGGATAACAGTGGTAGCTATTTTGGAAGATGAATCTCTAGTTAGGAAACTGGTAGTAAGAAATCTGTGACAAAAATGTATATCTTTTATGCATATATAAGAATTTCTTTCTTGTGCATAGAAACCACTTTCACATTGAGAAATCCATATCATTTCTTTTATATAGAAAGGAACACCAACACATATCACCCATTTTCTTTGTCTCTTCATGCATATAAAAATAATAATACATGCTCCATTGGGTAAAATAAGAATAGAAAAGTTTACTTGAAATAGAAGGAAATTAACCTGAAAGGAAATGTGTTAAACGTTACCAAAAAAAAAGCATTATAATTTACCAGATGAACATCCCCTACCAAATTATTAAAGATTGCTAATCATAGCTTTCGGCTACATTCCTTTTTTCAAGAACACCTATTGTCAGCTAATGCAAATCCTTTGCTCTTCAAATTAGTAAGCAATTATTTGAAGAAAATGATTCATCTTTTGCTGCCAAAATTAAGTATTGATTATGTGATAGTATAAAAAAAATTAGGAGACATTGATTGGCCAAGGCTACTGAGTCTTCTTCCCACCCCATCATACTAGGTTTCATTACTTTCCCACCACCTTGCCCCATCCTGCATTCAGGCTCCATTCTCTCAATAATTTGCGTGATTTGGAAAAGAGGCCTTAAGAACCATCATGAAAACAAGGGAGAACAAAACCCTAGCAAAACTGGCATTCTGAAAAGCTGTGAGCCTCAGCATTTTAGGGTTTTTCTTCTCCATAGGATGCGAGTGAAAGAAGTAAATTTGAGGGGGGAAAACATTAAAGGCTCTGAACCTTTCTGAATGTCAACTTTTCTAGCATTTTCACCAGATTTGAGAACCATTCTTCCAGGAGTATTTTTCCTCTGCCTTAAAGGAAGGGCAAATCCCTTGGTGCACTAGGGCAGTGGGCATCAAATCTTCTGTCACTTCCATTTCCTGCCAGTTTCCAAAGCTGGCAGAGAAGATTGCAGATAGCAGCCACATGATTGCAGGGTATTTGGCAACCAGTCATAAATGTGAACAGGTTGCCAAATGTCTGAAATGTAATCATATCACCAGCTGCCCAGTATTTAATCTTCCTAAATCTCTGCTGCCCAATAAAGATGCCTTGTATACAAATCTGATGAGCACCTCTAAAGGTAGATATATAATTGGAGAGAAGTCCTAGTCAGTTATATCTAACCTTGAAGGAAAATACTTCATAAATTTAATTATGAGCAGCAGAAAAAGTTTTTCAGATGAGTTATTCAACTTGGGCAAAAATAAACTGTGCAATATTGAATAGAAACCAAATGAATATTTATTGGAACCATCCACCAGAATGTCAATAATCTTTTTTGAGTGCCAGCTGTTTGAAATTTCTCAGATAAAATAATTATTGTTTTGCACTAAAATAGAGTATACTTGGTTACATTCTAAACATACTTCCATGATTAATTTCCAAAGATGACTTTATGAGCCAACTTCTGATCATATTGAGGAGAAAATTAAGAAGAGTCTATTGAAGGTATAGATCTTGTGTCTGCAGACTATCCAAGAGATTGAAAATCCAGCATAGCAGAAAGTAGATGGAAATGTTTCCACAAATGTCTCCAGGGTCCTCTCCCCTCCCCCGCCAGCTGTTTTGGGCATTTTAGCTATTTTCCCATTTCTGTATTCCCACTGCTGTTTTCCAGTGGTGGGATTCATTTTTTTTTTACTACCAGTTCTGTGGGTGTGGCTATGTGGTCATGTGACTGGGTGGGTGTGACTATGTGGTCATGTGACTGGGTGGGCATGGCCAATTTAGCAGTCCATTAAACAATATACAGCAGCCCCCTTTTCTAGTCTTCTTTTTAAAACTGCGTGAAGTTTTTGCATTGGGGGGAGAGGTCGGCAATGCCTGGGGAAGGAAAGGCATGCTTTCCACAGGTCTCATCATTATATTTAAAGGACCAGATAATGTTATTAGGTTGGGAGATTCATTGGTGAAGCGATAGTGACTGGATGTGCGATGTTCAATAGTGCAGTAACTGGAGTTGGTAAATTGACAGGTGTGGTGAGTGTTAACGGAGAACTGTTGGGCTGGAGATGTTAAATGTGCTCAAAACATTGGCTCGGCTTTTCATATTCATTGCAGCAGCCACAATGTGAGGAACTGCTCCTTTGGTAATAAGCAGTGGTGGGATTCAAATTATTTAACAACTGGTTCTCCACCCTAATGATTTCTTCCAACAACCATTTTGCAAACTGCTTAGAAAGTTAACAACTGGTTCTCCCGAAGTGGTGCGAACTGGTTGAATGCCATCACTGGTACTTAGGGAATTTTGCCCCATTTAACAACCTTTCTTGCCACAGTTGTTAAGTAAGTCACTGCAGTTGTTAATCACACAGTTGTTAAGTGAATATGTCAGAAGGTTGCAAAAGTTGATCACATGATCATGGGACACTGCAACTGTCATAATATGAATCAGTTGACAAGCATCTGAATTTTGATCATGTAACCATGATGATGCTGCAATGACTGTAAGTTGAAAAGCAGTTGTTTCAGTGCCATTGTAACTTCAAATTGTCACTAAATGAACTGTTGTAAATTGAGGACTACTGAATTTGGCTTCCTTTTGAACATGTAATTTCCAGAATAAAGTTATTGGCCTCATGAAATGGAAGGTGGGAACAGAAGGGAGGAAGGAATGGTTGTTAAATCGAGGGCTACCTCCAGAATTCCCCAGCCGTTTTTTTTTGCTGCAGATCCCGTATCCAATGTCAAGATCAAGAGATGAGACAGTATTTTATCAATAAAATGTAATTTTGAATTATTCGCTTTATATGATCACAATCTTAAAAATCAGACCTACAGAAGTAAAGATATAGGCAGATTTCAAGTAAGTAAAGCTAGAATATTTGCTAGCTGCTAACCAATCTCCCTGATCCTAACACATATACTAGCTAAATAACAAGTTTCACAGAACACAGCAGGAATAAATTGACATAGACTACAGGTAGTCCTTGACTTGCAACCATTCATTTAGTGACCATTCAAAGTTAGAACAACACCCTGTCTGAAAAGGACCCTCCAAAAAGAACAGACTTGTAGGCAGCAAACCAGACGCAAATCCCAAGGAGGACCATCTACCTATAAAGCCAAAGGACAAAGGGGAAGAAGGAGGAGGAGGAGGCGGGGAGCAGATAAACCTGCAATCCTGTAAATCCCAAAGCTAGTGCCCCTTAAAAGAGAAGACCCCTAGAAAGCACATACACACCATCCCTTTCTCACCAGCACAGCTAAAATGACATGGCGGAGCATAGCCTGCCAAGCAGCACCAGGAGAATGATGCGAGCTTGCACAGATGAGCCAAATTGCCTCTTCTGAGCTCAGAAAATTCCTGTTGACAAGCCAGGGAATGCAGTTTGTGGGCCTGCACATTTTAGAAACCCCATCCCACCCTCAGGGTTGTTTCAAATCATGATGGAGCTGTTTTGTTCTGGTGACAAAGCTGCTGCTGAGCCCAATGTATGTAGGGGAGACTGCAAGGTCAGGCAAATCACACCACCCCCACTATCAAAGTGGATTCCTGGATTCTGTGCTGCAATGTAGAAACGCGAAATGGAGCCCAGCACGAGGGAAGGAAAAGGAGCAGGGAGAAGAAAAGGAAAGTGGCTTCCTCCTTACCTCGTACTGGCCACTCCATTGCCCATTTCACCATTGCAGTGCCGTGCCACGGAGCTTTCCCCACCCACCAACATCCAGATGCCGTCGCTTCTCCCAAGCATTTCTTTGCCTACCTGATTTCCATCTCCATTTCATTTCTTGCCATCATGTGCAGGGAAAGAAAAGTTTATGTGGGGCTAAAAAAAACAATTCAGTCAATCAATTCCAACTTTGCAAGATCTTTTTCTTTCGCAAAAAGTTGGAATTGATTGATTGAACTTTTTTTTAGTCCTACACAAACTTTCTTTTCCCTGCACACGATGGCGACAAACACGAAGGAGCTGGAAATCAGGTAGGCAAATAAATCCTTGGGGAATTTCTTCTCCCAGCCAGTGCAGCTATGCAGCTTCCCGGCCAGGGAGAGAACATTATCTTGTAAGCGATTGACAAATCAAAATAAATAAATAAAATAAAAATAAATAAATTCTCCCAGCCAGCACAGCCATGCAGCTTCTCAGCTGCAATTCAGAGGCAAGCAGGAAGCTCTGATAAGCATAGGAAGCATTGGGAACAGTGGGAAACTCCAGGAAGGGGCGGGAAGCAGCAGGAAGCACCAGAAAGCACGGTAAGTGGCGCTGCAGGCCGGGCACAGTGGGGGGGCAGCTAGCTAGCTAGGCCATGAGCACTGCATGTGATGGAGCCATGGCGCTGGCAGTGAAGCAAGTCAGCCAAGCCTGGGGATGGTGGTGGGGCAGCACAACGGCCTAGGCCGGCCAGGGAGTCAACTCAACGGGGCCTGTGGTGGCAGTGGCAGCCTAAGCCAGGTCGGGAATCAACTCGACTGGGGTTTGCTCATAGGCTCACTCACCCAGGGAGATCAGGGCAGGTTAGCAATGGTGGGTGAGATGAGGAATGACAGGGTGGGGTGAGCAGGCCGGGGGGCGGGGAGGGGTGGAGCCATCCAGAATTTTTACCACTGGTTTGCCCGAACTAGCTGAATCCCACCACTGCTGTTTTCCCATTGCTATACCTGCCAGTTTGTTAAGTGAGAGATGTGATTTCAGAGTAATTTCTTAGGCTAGAGCTCTTGAAACTCCAGGCTTGAGATATGGCTTGTGATACAAACATTAAAATGGCCAATTAAAGTCAAAAAGTGTAAAAGATAATTGGTCAATTAAAGAAAGATAAGAAATAAATGAAATAAGAACTAAAAGCTGAAATCTTAAAAGAGACAGAAAAAAAGCCTCCATTTGGATCTTCCTAATATCATATTGACATGTTAGTCCTTCCTACACTGCGAAATTAAACAAGGTCAGCCCTGGAAATGGTTTTCCACCAGGCTGTTTTAGGTTTGTAAGCTAGATTGAGAAATTGAAAAAAATACACTGAAAAAAGAGAGTCACAAATCATTTCAGTACTGCTGTCAAGAAAGTTACATGGATGTGAAGTCACAAGAAGGCTCAATTTGAAGATTACATTTTGTAGATTACAGATTATTATTTTTAAACTTAGAGTTTGCATAGATCAAAAAAAAAAATACCCTTAGCAGATAAATAGGGAATACTGCTTGTTTTTCTTCATAAGAGCTGTAATGTTTTCATGGCTTTCTGGAGACTTTTTTTCCAGAAGGGTTTTAGGTGTTAACTGTATAGGCGTGGGATGTGTGTGTGTGTGTATTTATGTCTATTTATAGGGGTATATATATATATATGTGTGTGTATATATATATATATATATATAGTCCTATTTTTATATTCTTCAGTGTTATTTTAATAATATTTATTGTTTTAACAGCAATCCATTAAAATTATTTAGGTCTCAGAATAAAAAATAAATTATTATTATATGTATTGACATGAAATTATTTTACAGAACACGCACTTCAAGAATTGGTTGAAGCAAAAAAACACTTGACTACAGATTTAAAGGCAACTATACATGATATTCAGAAGGCAGAACATGCTCATTTTGAACGACCTAGTGGTATGACTAAAAATTGTAAACTTTTTTTTTACAATAATACTACTTTATCACCATCTTTATTATAATATTAGTTAGAAGAAGTGTTAAGTCAAGCACCTTTCTCTGTTCTTGGATGAATGGATTATAGCCATTTGGAACAATGGCTTAAGGTATATTGTTTAATGATTTATCAAATGAGTTAAGTTTGTGTTAGAACTGATCATTTATTAGGAAATTCTTCTTTTTCTTACTAATCATAAAAAATCAAATCAATTTCTGTCATTCCCTCCCTTCTGTAGTATAGATAATTATAAACCAATGAAGTTGGGTCATTCTAGATTCTAGTATCCTCTTCCTCACATCTTTTTATGGCAATGTTTACTTATAAAAGAGAATATACATTCCCAGCTCACTGTACAGATAATCCTCAATTTTCAACAGTTTGTTTAGTGATTATTTAAAGTTACAACAGCACTGAAAAAAAGTGGCTTATGAATGTTATTCACGCTTATAAATGTTGCAACATCTTTTTGCGACCTTTTGTCAATCAGATTCACCTAATAACCATATTACTAACTTAACTACAGTTGCATTCACTTAACAGCTGTTGCAAGAAAGGTAATAAAATGGAACAAAATGCACTTAATAAATGCCTCACTTAGCAACAGAATTTTTTTGTGCTCAATTGTAAGTAATAAGTTGAGGACTATCTGTATTATTTTTATACTTTATACATTTCTTTTATATATATTGAAGTGTTTGGCAGTCTAAAAATTAAAATAATAATAATAAAGAACTTCTACAGTCATCAAACTCATCATGCTGCAATCATGACTATACATTATGGATGCCCTATATATTCTCTCTCCTGTTCAGAAGCATCCTACAAATGCATTTTAATTTCTATTTCTAAAGCACTTCAAGCTGTTAACTTATATCTTAATATTTTTTGTATTTATAATTTATTTTGAAATTGGAGGCTTTAGTTGGCTCTCATAGAAAATTTATATTTTAAGGCTGTTTGACACTACAATGCATATTTGATATGAGGAAGAATATGCAGTTTTGCAGAATTAAAGTTTGACAGCCATTCTGAGTCCCCATTCTTTATTTAAAATAAACTTTAAAAAATGTCATTATTCATTTCACTTCATCAACCCTGTTATATTTTTACAAGCATGTTTCAATTCCTAATCTTCCTTTGGAAATATACTAAAAACTGCATTTCTAGCATAAAATGAATTGTTGGAATAATGAGCCTGTCTTTTCCATAAAAGTTTGGGTTTTGTCCCCCATGTAGATGACTAACTATCATAGGTGGCAATTAAAAGAATAATTGATGTGTACCCCAACCACATACAAAATTCAACCAATTTGAATTTTTCAAAATTAAAAACAAATGTTTTTGAATTAAGTTTTTTTAAAAAATAAAATGGGTGTTTCTATTTCTATTTCCTAAAAACCAGTTTGGTGTAATGGTTAAGGCACAAAACTGAAAAGCAGAAGACAAAAATTTATGTTCTGTCTCAGTCATGAAAACTGACTGGATGACTTTGGGCCAGGCACTCTCTCTCAGTCCAACTCACTTCACAGGGTTGTTGTGGGTAAAATAGAAGGAAGAAGATGTGTTGGATATGTTCACCACCTTGAGTTATTTGTAAAAATAATAAAGGTGGGATACAAACCAGTGAAATAAAAATTAAAAATGCATTTTACCCACACAAAACCAGTGAGAGCAAATTCAAGCAGATTTGAAGTCATCATTTCTTTGTTGTGGCGAGAATTGTCATTTTACACCTTTGGTCTGCCACCCCTATTTATTTAATTTCTATGTTGTTAGGCTTGGGCAGAGGGGGTTGTGCTACAGAGAGATCTGCAGAATATATTCTAAGTCTGCCTTGAAAAAGTTACTATTATAGTATATTAGTATTTTATTGACCAAGGGTATTAATAATCCAAAATCATTTCATTTAGTTTGTTTTGTTTTATTGAATGGGATCTACAATAATACCATCATATGAAATAATCCAGTTTTTAAAAATAATTGTTGTTATGTGATTTTATAAATAATGAGAATATTTTTAAATACTTTTAAAGAAATAATTCAAAAAGAGAGATCACTGAATCACTTACTTAAAAAAAAGGAGTTACTACAGAAACGTTTGGATTCTAACTGGACAGAATTAGAAGATGCTCAGGCTCTTGTAATGGCCAAACCTGGATATATCAATGGTAGGTAAACTGTAATTTTTGATATTTGTAATGCTAGATATAGCAACAGCACTTAGACTTATATGCCACTTTATAGTGCTTTATAGCCTCTCTAAGCGGTTTACAGAATCAGCATATTTCCTCCACAATCTGGGACCTCACTTTACCCACCTCGGAAGGATGGAAGGCTGAGTCAACCTTGAGCCTGGTGAGATTCAAACTGCCAAACTGCAGGCAGCTAGCAGTCAGCAGAAGTAGCCTTCAAGTACTGCACTCTAACCACTGCGCCACCATGGCTCATATATATAAAGTTTGAAGTAAGTTTCCTTGCCTCAGTTGAATTTATAATTAAGATGAAACACTATTTGCTGAGCTGTAAGTAAGACTTTTCAAATTTTCTGTCCCTCATGGAAAGAAAGGAGGAAGAAAAAAATTTACTTTAGATTTTATTCATAGTAGCTGGTATAACCAGGCTGAGGCTTATATCTTTCCAGCTCTTCTGTGACTTGGTTAAATGGAAGTATTTAAACATCTTCATTCTAATTGTAAACTGTAACAGTTTGTTGTACTGTTAAAATAATGTTTAATCATATATATGATAAATGAAAGAAGCCAGTGTTAATTCATATTTAATAAAGTAATAGAGTTTTATCAATTTTAATTAAAATTAACAACAGAACCAAAGTGTTAATGATATCCATTCCCTTAAAATTAAATTATGATTAAATACAGCAATAGGGTTTACTTATTTTATAAAACATTTTATTTATTTAATATTTATTTAATTAATTTATATAACATTTAATTAATTTATATAACTCATCTCATAAGCAAATTACTCTGGGAAATGGGCAACAAAACTAAAATGACAAATATCTAAAATCACTATTATTAACTAATATTAAAAACTATAAGTGTCACAGCTAAATATTTGTGATAGGCTACATACCAATTGTATGCATTATATTGTTAATAGGGCAAATATATCAGCAATTTTTAAATGAATTGACCTAATTATTTTTACAGAGCATAAACTACAAGTATTATCTGATGAAAGAAGCAATTTGTCTAAAGAGCTAAAGAAAGTTTTTCAGGAGATATTAGCATTGCAGCAAGGTGCTCCAGAGAAATTTCCAGATAGACATTATGGAGGTAAGTTAACAAAAAGAATATATATAAAACCTTTTTTCTAAGCAAAAGAGTTATAAATTCCATTAGAATGGCATTCTTTATTAAAAACAAAATAAATTCAATTATGCCTGAAAAAGTAGTTTCAATTTTTGTCATAAAAATAAAATAAAATGCTATAATCAATTAATTTACATGATATTATAAGCCATGGTGAATGCAATGGTTAGAGTACAGTACTGCAGGCTACTTCTGCTGACTGCCAGCTGCCTGCAATTTGGCAGTTCAAATCTTGCCAGACTCAAAGTTGACCCAGCCTTCCATCCTTCCGAGGTGGATAAAATGAGGACCCAAATTGTTGGGGCAATATGCTGACTCTGTAAACCACTTAGAGAAGGCTGTAAAGCACTGTGAAGTGGTATGTAAATCTAAGTACTATTGCTATTGCTATAAAGCTATATCTTAGTAGGTGTTTCTCAAACTTTTATTTTGAAATATGGTAATATATATTTAATATGTAAGGTTTTAAATTTTACTGTTTATTTCATACTGATCAAGAGATCAGAATGAATACTGTTTTTCATATGGTATTAAAGAATTTTGTTCCTTGTCAGGAAAGTTTCTTGGGTTCTTGTAGGAACATAATTCAAATTTCACAGAAAATTCTAAATGCTTTGTGGCATATTATTTCTCCTACTTTGTTTCTTTGTACTTAAAAATTAATTGTATTAATAGACAAATTATTTATAAATTATATAAAGTTATCCATATTAAAATGTTTTTTCTTTTAAATTTTCTGACCAATGAGAGGCTTCTTAACTTTAAAAAGATAATTTAAAACCTTTTTCTTTTTTTGTAGAAAAAGAATTATATACACTATCTAAGAAGAAACAACTGTTATTGGAAAATTTAAAAAGTTTACAAGAAGCTCAAGCTTTTGCAGCGGCCCAACCTGGCGGTTTGGATGGTATGTTTGGGTGATTTCTCATACTTTCAGCTATAATATTAATTTTGTGTACCTTGAATTAAGGTGCTTCATTTGTTAGGCAAACTGAGAATTTCTATAGAAAATTATTCCTGCTTTAATACTTATATAAGTAGGACAAGCAGCAAACTGTTAGTTTGGAGTTTCTTATGAAAGCAATTGCAAAAGAAGCTTTAACATTGGTAATATATAATTTCATTTTTTAAAATATACTTTACTTTTGCTGGATATTAACAATAATTTGTTATTTTTACTTACTATCTACTGCAGATATTCTTATATGATCCTTTAGCTGTATAGTAATACTTTTTTCAAGAGACACCTGAATTTAATGAAAAGAATATGTATAGTTTCATTTCATATATTTAATGATGACATTTTCTTCCAGAACTTTGAATACTAGAATTTAAATCGCTTAGAAAAAATAGAATTCCGAGAGATTCCTTAATAGAAATATCAGGCAGTAAAGCTTAAGTTCCTGAAACCTGCTTTCCAATTTAATACAGTGTCTCCAGTTATTACTCTAATGTCTGTGGCTTGAAAGATCCATAACTGAAATCAGGAATATCAATGGATTGCACATACGTTTTCTCTTAAAATAGGGCATAAATCAGTCTTAATATAGGTTTAAAATATATTTAGAAACCAAAAGTCAACTGAATTAATAGAATGTAACAGAACAGAATACTTCGTTGGCCAAACATGATTGGACATAGAAGGAATTTGTCTCTGGTGCAGAAGCTCTCAATGTGCATATAAACAACAAAGTAATATAATCATAAGAGAAGAGAAGGTAATAGAAAAAATGAGAAAGATAACAATAATACAGCCATACAACATAGCTATTGCATAGCATATTAGTTTGCATTTGGTTGTACAGACTTTTTGATAAATTTTCTTTGTTGAATTATTATTTCAAAATATGGTTAAGATCCTGGTTTCTAACCTTTAATTTGTTTAATAGTGCCAACTTGGATATTAAGACAAAGAACACTTAGATTATACACTTTAACTCAGTTAATTTAAGAAGTTGTGTGAAATGCTCATTAAAATGTAAACAATTGAGATTATATTGAATACTGATTGCAAAATTGAACAGTAATTTTATTCATTTAATAATTTGTTATAAATTGATCTAAAATGTTTTTGTAGAAGATAAACAAAAGCAGTTAAATGAACAAAGAAAACAGTTAACTACAGAGTTGGAGAAAATAGTAAAGAATATTCAAAGAGTGGAACATAGTACTTCAGAAATACGTCTAGATATAAGAGCCAGCGGTAAGCAAATAAAATGTTGTATTCTAAGCTATCTCAATAGAAAGAACAGGAAGTTGGGGGAAAATAAAGCTTTATACTAACTCATGATCAGCCTTTTCCCTGGTATCAGCTTTGTTTGTGTTTAATTCAGTGGCTTTTTTGGACTTTAAAGATTTGCCTGGGATGAATGTTATTCCCACCATTGAACTAGAAATTCAGTAAAGCAGAATTCAGCATCAGCTCTAGACAAATTTATAGGAAGTGAGATTTCATCTCTCTGCCAGTTTCTCCATATTTGAATCTTGCTTGTTTTTAATTTTAATTATGCTTGAAGCCCTTGGAAAAAAATTGTATTAGATCATAGGTCAAATCTTTTCAAATATTAAGGTAAAGGTAAAGGTTCCCCTTGCACACACATGCTAATCGTTTCTAGGGTCTAGGGGTCGGTGCTCATTTCCATTACATAGCTGTCCAAAGACATCTCCATGATCATGTGGCTGGCATGACTAAACCCCAAAGGCACACAGAATGCTGTTACCTTCCCACCAAAGTAGTCCCTATTTATCTACTTGCATTTTTGCATGCTTTCGAACTGCTAGATTAGCAGAAGCAAGTAACGGGACAAGTAACGGGAGCTCACTCCATTACATGGTGCTAGGGATTCGAACTGCCAAATTGCCGACCTTTCTGATCGACAAGCTCAGTGTCTTAGCCACTGAGCCACCATGTCCCTTTTCAAGCATTATCCCTTTTCACCATGTCCCTTTTCAAGCATTATCATGATAGAAATCCTCTGATCTATTATTTATGTGCCAGTGATTGAATTCAAATCTTATACTGCTGAGGGGAAAAAACCAAAAATTTAATTCTTGTAAAAAAAAGAATGTGATTTTACTGGGTCCTTTATCCTGTTGACTGGTATAGTATTCTCGTATTTGTTTGTAGGAAACCCCATTTAGCAAAAGCACTGTCTTCATGTCCTTCCTAAAGGATTTACAGTGTACTTATAAATCATTCTGATTGGGAGCATGAGGGATTGATATTCTTGTGTCCTAATCAAAACTTTACTGAGTAATATCAGAAAGAAGCTTGCCAGCCGAGTAACCCAGGGCAAAGTGGCTAACTCAAATTTATCTGAAACCAGTAAAGGAGTCGTTATCATCTTTATAACTCAGAAAGCCTCATATAGGCTGTGCAGTATTATCTATGGGGATTGAATAATATGCTGCACTGACTAATACTGAAGACCCTGTGAAAACATTCAAAATATGATTACAAGAACTGTAAGAGGTCCTGATACTCTTTTACATACAACCTAAAGAAAGTACAGTGGCTATCAATTAGTTTCTTGTCATAATTTGAAACACCTAAATGACTGCTACTGCCTAGGATTTATTGTTCAGGTTCTCTGTGTTCAGTAATGATAGTTGTATGTCTGATGAGAACATTCTATGAATATTTTTTGATGAGTTCAAAAAACTACATTTCTATCTTTTGTAGGTCAGTCAGTATTTTTATTTTAGCAAATTCCTGTCTATTTGATTTTTAAATCTGTCCTTCATATTTTCTATTGCCATTATTATTATTTTAATAATGCAAAATGTATTTGTGTTACAATAATGTAAAAGAATCTTACTTTATTATATATTCATTCATCTGTTAATTATTTTACATTGTAATGATAAATGTGGCATTTGAAATTCCCATTAAGTAATTTATTTTTGAATAAAATTTTTCTTTTTTGGGAACAGTGATTTCTTATTTAAAAATCCCTTAATTTTGCAGAGAAAGATCTACATGAATTGTTAGAAAAGAAGTTTGAAATACTGGAAGATTTGGCATTCAATCAAAAAGAGCTGCAGGAAGTTCAAGTTCTTGCAGCTGTCCAGCCAGACACTATCAGTGGTATGCTTTCTGTTTTTTTTTCTATCCATGATAACTGTAATCTGAAATTTATAAATTGTCCACTTGATTGATACTAGACAAATCTTGTTGATTTTTTTTGGCATTCTTATTTAGATAGCTTTTTTACATTAAACCACATCAATATTAATTAATGTTTGTATTCAAATAATGCTGATTTTAAATTGTTAATTTGTTCAAAGTAGTAATAATTATGAATAAATAATTGTAAGTAAAAATCAAAAAAATGAAAAATAAACAGAAAATTGGACAGCTGCTTCCACCACACTTCCATGTAGAAAGCAGACTCACACCCACACAAAAGATGAGACACGACCATGGACCAGAAGCCGCACCGTAGCTGCATCACTAACCGCTCCAAACCCCTCCGACCCATACATGAAGCGAACTGACGCCCACCATGAAGATGCGGCACGACCACGAACGCGAAGCCAAACAGCAGGATCACAGCTCACCAGCTCAAATCCCCCAGCAACTAAGACTAACCTGAGCACAACCAAGCCCCCACCTGAACAGAACACACTCCCAGCCAATCAGAGCACAGCCAACCCACCAGCCAATCAGAGCACATCCAGGCCCCCAACCAATGAGAACACAACTCCACCCAATCAGAACACAGCCAAGCCCCCACAAAATCAAGTCACACCCGCACTAGCAGTTAAAAAGAAGAAGCAGCTGCAAGCTCACATTACTCTGAGAAGCACAGAGCCGAAGACACAAGCCTGAAGATGATGAATGAGACTTCATCGAAATGTTGCCTAGATACTTCCAATTTTACGTGGGAGAAAACCCGAATAACCAAAGATCCACCTACAAGTACATCCAATACATACATATAACATATATGTATACAATAGATTATCCACAATATAAATGAACTGCAGCATTTTATTTAACATAATAAATATAACTATTTTAGTAATATTCAGAATTTTAGTATTACATTTTAGTATGTAAATTGTCTTGTATTTATTTTGTAGATTATAAACTGAAAGACCTCACTACGAAAAATAGGTATTTGACTGAATATCTAGAAGCAACTGTACAAGAAATACACGAAATATCAAAAAAAATTTCAGAAACAATTATTATTACAAGACCCAGTGGCAAGTAGAGAACATATTATTTAGATTTTGTAAGAAATATGTTTAGTTTAATAAGTAAAATGTTTGCTAAAGGTAATGTAAAGGAGTGGAGAAATTTAAGATGTACAAATGCTAGTCGAAAGATAGAAATATACTGTACTTTGTTAGTTTTAATTATTTAGTCATGTCCTACTCTTGATGATTTTATAGGCAAGTGCTCCCCATGCTATCCTATCAAACATAGCTTTTTTCAATTGTATGCTCAACTTTGCATCAGGTTTGATGTTATCAATCCAGAGTGTTCTTTTTTGCCACTTCTTCTTTGTCCAATAAGCATTCCTAGCATCATTGTCTTCTCCAATGAATTTGCATGCCTAATATGGCCAAAGTAAATCAGATGTAGTCTTACGTTTTTAGCTTCCAGTGATGCAACTGCTTTTATATGATTTAACATCTTCTCTTTAGCTACTTTGGCTGGAACTATATATATATAAAATGTGGATTTATTACATATATATAAAATTTGAGTATAGGTAACATATGTTCTGTAGCAAAACTTAATTTGTCAGATGAAGCAAACAATTCAGTAAAGAATGCTTATGGCCACTTTATTAGATGGAAGACGTTCCTTATACATTTTTCTAGAAATATATTAAAGAGCAAAGGAGATATTGCATATCCTTGTCTTAATCCCTGTTCAAAGTAGGACCATTTGTTAATTATTCTAAGAGCCAATTTCGCTTAGTAATTAAGGAATCTGGCTAAAAAGTGGGAAATTGTGAGTTTGTCATGTTGAAAGACCTGAAAGCTGGATGGGAGCTTCCAATCAATCTCTTGCGTCAATCTTCAATCTTCAAGCTTCCGTTAAGCTTCCATCAATTTCTTCTTAGCGCAACCTATATCACAGGGATATTATTGAGGGGAAAATAGAAGAAGAGAAAAGTATTCAGTATGTTCACAATCTTGATTTATTTATAAAAATAATAAAGATGGCATATAAATAAGTAAGTAAATAAATTAACAAGCTTTTCTTCCAAATTATACCTCTCTTACCGCATTCAGTCTTTACTTACAACTTGTACAAAGATTCCATAATTATTCACTTTATCGTATGCTTTATCGTATGCTTCCTTGTCAATAAATGTACAGTATACTAACTTTCTCACATTCATATATTCAACTTCTTATTGGTACAGCTTATATCAAGCAGAAACTCATATTGTACTCAAATTTTGCGCACAATTACCTCTCATATTCCTTCAATTAGATTTCTATTAAACATTTTCCTTAACAATTTTTGTTACCCTTTTGCAAACTGCATACATAATCAAATGAAATGATATTGATGATGATAGCAATGAAGTTGCTATTGTTATTGTCTCACAGTTTCCTCCTATTGAAAAGAATTTGTAATGAATTTTCAAGACTTACTACATACAAAGATACCTTCAAATCTACATCAATTTCAGAAGTTATTATCTGTTAAAGACTGACCTTGAAATCTAATCATCTCATTATTTAGTCATTTTCTGGAAATGATGACTTTCACATTTTGGGATGTGAAATTCTGTATTAAGAATTATCTTCTAATAGTTTCTCCCAAAGACAAATTACTCTACATATGACTGTCCATTGAGAATATATTTATCATATGTTCTTTTTTGCTTTTTTTTAACCCATAAGTGCTGCTTTAACACATGCCAGTAATGATAGGTTTACATGCTAGAACACTATGATTCAGTATGATGACCAGTGGTAGAACACTGGAAAATAAAGCCTATGAAGTGAAAAAAGATAACATCAATCTTTTTTTTTTCCAAAAGTTTATTTTTTAAATTTTATACATCTTTTCACGTGAGCAATGTGTTTCCAGATTATAACACTTGTACATAGTCACTCTTTCATTTCCATTAATCTTATATAATATTAACTCATATTATTATCCATTTCACTCATCTTTAAATAAATTTACATTTTATATTTCAGTTCATAGATTCAGTATCAATATCATTCCATCTATACATAAGTTTTCAAATCTTTATCCCCTATTATTTCCATTTTCAGCTTACCACCTATTTTATTTTACATTACTCATCATTATTATTCTTAGTTTTCTCTAAGCCGATATATAATAAATGATCTGAGAAGAGTAAAAATATAATAAAATATAATATATTTAGGATCCATATGGCATTTTCCATTCACCTACTTTAATCATAATAAAATATTCTCATTATATAATCCTAATATCCATTAAATAATCAACTGTATATGTTGTCATCTGTATATATTCTCTCCATTAAATCACTAAAATAACTTCTTAATATCTCTCATTTTATCTTCACTTTACTTATAATCATTAATAATCATATTTTTTAAATTCATTT